GAACGAGAGAAGTTGCTACGCCAGTCACCCCCACTCCCGGGCCGGGAGGAAGAACCAGGTTTGGGGGACTCGGGCATTCAGTCAACACCAGGCTCTGGCCATGCCCCTCGTACTAGTTCTTCCTCAGATGATTCGAAGAGATCACCCTTGGGCAAGACTCCACTGGGACGCCCAACTGCCCCCCGTTTCGGCAAGCCAGATGGGCTAAGGGGCCGGGGATTAGGGTCCCCTGAACCAGGCCCAACTGCCCCATACCTGGGTCGATCGATGTCTTACAGCAGCCAAAAAGCCCCACCTGGTGTCTCTGAGACAGAAGAAGTGGCCTTGCAGCCATTACTGACACCCAAGTAAGTATCAGTACTATATTGGCCCTCAGATGACTTAAAGCATTCTGCCCTGCAGAAGGTATCAGGGCTTTGCTTTGCACATCCTAGTGTAATTGGACTCAGTGGTATTCTGATAGTTCTTCATTTTCTATGAAGAGACTTAAAATTAATGCTGTTCTCTTAATCCTGTTTTCCTAAAAATACTTGCCTGGGAATAAGCATATGAGGTAGCTGATAGTAGTAAATAAGGGAGACTGAATCAGGCTTGTTTTAAGTAAAATAAAAGAGAATGTTTGGGTAAGTATGTATATAGAAAAGTAGGCTTGGTGCCTGTAGCACGGCGCTGGCCACATGCACCGAGGGTGGTTGGCTCGAACCTGGCCTCGGCCAGCTAAACAATGACAACTGCAATAAAAAATAGCTGGGTGTTGTGGCGGGTGCCTATAGTCCCAGCTACTTGGGAGGCTGAGGCAAGAGAATTGCCTTAAGCCCAAGAGTTTGACGTTGCTGTGAGCTGTGATGCAGTAGCACTCTACTGAGGGCAACACAGTGAGACTTTGTATCAACAAGCAAAAAAAAAAAAAAACAACAACAAAAACCTAAAGTACATCATTTTTGTCCCCTTAATCTTTTAGTTTTTAATTTTTTTTGATACTGAGTCCCACTTTGTAGCCCTCAATAGAGTGCTGTGGCGTCATAGCTCCTAGCAACCTCCAACTCTTGGACTTAAGCAATTCTCTTGCCTCAGCCTCCCAAGTAGCTGGGACTATAGGTGCCTGCTACAATGCCTAGCTATTTTTTTTTTTTTTTTTTTTGAGACAGAGCCTCAAGCTGTCGCCCTGGGTAGAATGCTATGACATCACAGCTCACAGCAACCTCCAGGGCTCAAGTGATTCTCCTGCCTCTACCTCCCACGTAGCTGGGACTACAGGTGCTCGCCACAACGCCCAGCTATTTTTTGGTCACAGCCATCGTTTGGAGGCCTGGGCTGGATTTGAACCCACCAGCTCAGGTGTATGTTGCTAGCGCCTTAGCCGCTTGAGCCACAGGTGCCAAGCTGCCTTTGTATTTTTTCCTTTTTTCTTTTCTTTTTTTTAAAGAGATGAAGTTTCACTCTGGTTCAGGCTGGTTTGAACCTGTAAGCACGGGCAGTCCACCCTCCTCAGCCTCCCAAATGCTAGGATTACAGGTGTGAGCCACTGCATCTGGCCTCTTAATCTTTTAAACTTTTCCCTCTTTTTGTAATTTTTTTTTTTTTTTGAGACAGAGTCTCAAGCTATTCCTCTGGGTAGAGTGCTGTGTCATCACAGCTCACAGCAACCTCCAATTCCTGGACTCAAGTGAGTCTCCTGCCTCTGCCTCCCAAGTATCTGCGACCACAGGTGCCTGCCACAATGCCTGGCTATTTTTTGGTTGCAGCCATCATTGTTTGGCAGCGGGCCGGGCAGCATTCGAACCTCCCACCTTAGATGTATGTGGCTGGCGCCTTAGCCAATTGAGCCATAGGTGCCAAGCCACCTTTTTTGTGATTTTGTCTTACTTCTTGACACCTGTCTCTTCTTTCCTTCCCAGAGATGAAGTACAGCTCAAGACCGCCTACAGCAAATCCAACGGGCAGCCTAAGAGTATAGGCTCAGCCTCCCCTGGCCCAGGCCAACCACCTCTCAGTAGCCCCACGAGAGGAGGAGTCAAGAAGGTGTCAGGGGTTGGTGGTACCACCTATGAGATTTCGGTGTGAGCCTTCGGCGCCTCCCCTGCCCCACGCCTCTGCGCCTACACCAAAGGGCCCCAGGTGGCCACCTTCCTTCCCTCAAGGGGCTTCCTCCCCTGCATGGACATTTTTTAGACCACCTATCCCAAGAGGATGAGGAGTGTTTTCTAAAATGCAGTGGGGGTTGGGAAGTTGGAGAGTTGGGGCCCTGAGACTGGGGTAGCAACCCCTCCTTTACCTTTTAAGACCTTCCCTTCCTTAATCCCTGGACCAGACTCAGTGGACATTTGTGCAATTGCTCGCCCTGGAGGGAATCAGATCATTTTTAAACCAGAAATAATTTTTTTTATTATTGTTACGGATTCTATTTTTTTCCTCTTCTGCGTTACCAGGTGTGTGTGTACATATATATATATATATATTATAAATATCAAAGAAATTATATATCTATCCTGGGATGGGAAAATGAGGGAGGGATATGTATAAGAAAGGGGGGGGTCTTCCTATTCCTTAGACCAGCAGGAAAAGAGGGGAGGCATTGAAGTCTTCCTTTTCTCTCTGATTCCCTCTCTTGTCCCAGTTACCAACTAAGGAAATAGCACCGTCTGTTGGTGCTAAGTGATCAGGAAAGAAGCCTGGGGCCTTGGTCAGAAGAGGGAAAGACTTGGAGAGAAGAGTTAGTTTCCTAGGCTCATTGGCACTTAGTTTCCCCAGGAAAGGGGTTTTATCTCCAGGACACTGGTGGTGGGGTGGGGGAAGATCAAAAGGGCTTGGCCTAGTTCAAAAAAACAATATTGGATGATACCCCTTCTTAAGGGGAGAGGGATTAGGGCAGGCTTCTTCAACTAGCCCTTCAAAGCCTCCCCTGGCTTACAGTTAACATGATTTAAAAATCCAAGGCCAAGAGAGAAGAATCCAAAAAAGCAATATTTTTCATCACATGCCAAAAACTGGGGATAGAGAGAAGGAGTGGCAGGCCTAGGCCCCTCCAATTGTCCCTTGGGGGTTACCCCTCAGTCCACCTCAGTATGGTGCTGGGTAGAGGGGGATACCTGGGTTCTAACCTCAAAATAGGGGAGACCCCAGCCTCTACAAAGAGGCCCTTTTATTTTTTATTCTGATTAGCTATTTTAAACCAATAAGGAATAAAACAAATCCTGATCTAACCAGCTCCCCCGACTTGTGTTATTTTGTCTGGTTAAGGCAGGGTAAATTATCTTTGGTGGGAAGTCATCACAGTGAGACCCTCAAGTTTCTGTGGTCCCAGCCCATCTTCAGGCCAGGACTATAGTAAAATTAAGCACTTAAAACAGGTCCTGGTTTATTGGGGTGATTTTTAAAATTCCTCAAAAAAGTCTTGAAACCACCAACACTTTTTGTCTTTTCAAAGCTTAGAAAACTCTGGACTTGTAGTGGCACAGTTGCTCCTTAATAGAGAACTTTGAGTCTGGGAAGTAAAGCTCATTTGGAAATCACCAAAGGTGATAAAAGCATGTTGAATTAAGATACGAGATAAAGCACATTGACTGGCTATTGGCAGCGATTCAATTAGGTATCTAATTGACAAAAGAAAAAGGCTGTGGCCTAATTTTAAACAGGCACCCTCAGACATTAAATCTCAAGAAAGTTACCAGAAATCTTTTATTTTCACTGTCCATAAACTTAAATATATAAACTCTTGTTCTGAATCCTAGATTAGAATGAGTTGAACAAGTGATTCTACACCCACTTATCTAGGAAAAACTTTGGCTCAGAGCAACAGATTTTAACTGTTTTATGTTAAATTTAAAGTCAGATTACATTAGTTCAGGTTTTCTATCTTACAAAAAAAAAAAAAACAGAGTCTCACTTTGTTGCCCTTGGTAGAGGGCAATGGCGTCACAGCTCATAGCAACCTCCAGCTCCTGGGCTTAGGCAATTTTCTTGCCTCAGCCTCTGAGTAGCTGGGACCACAGGTGCCTGCCACAATGCCCAGCTATTTTTTTGTTGCAGTTTGGCGGGGCAGAGTTCGAACCTGCCACCCTCCGTATATGGGGCTGGCGCCCTACTTACTGAGCCACAGGTACTGCTTCTAGTTCAGGTTTTCTGATGTATGTTTTCACTTACCCAGCCAGTTGCAAAAGGTAAGGGGACTTATTTTACAGGTTGATAGTTAAGGTTTTTTTGTTGCTGTCTTACTTTGTTTGAGGCAAGGTCCCTCTTTATTGTCCTGGCTAGAGTGCAGTGGCAACTTCATAGCTCACTGTAACCTCAAGCTCCTGGACTCAAGTGATGCTCTTGCCTTAGCCTTCCGAGTAGCTGGCACTGCAGGTGTACAGCTCCACACCCAGCTAACTTTTTAATTTTTTAGTAGTGACAGGGGTCTTGCTATGTTGCTCAAGCTGGCCTCAAAATCCTGGCCTCAAGCAACCCACCCAGCTTGGCCTCCCAAAGTGCTAGGATTATAGGTGTAAGCCACTGCACCTGGGTATGTTACTGTCTTAGAAGCTTGGAAATGTCTTCACATCAGTCAAATAATTTCATTGTCTTAACTAAAGAATGAAGCTGGACAAAAGTTCTTAAAAAGACGAGAAGCAACATTTACTTTTGCTTATCAGAGGTTCATTTTAAAAGATCATGGGCTTCTGACCTAAAAAGCAATCTTGTTGAAAAACACTTGGTAACCCATGGTGCTTTTTCAGTTGGCTGTTTTTTTTGTTTTTTGTTTTTTTTTTTTTGAGACAGAGCCTGGGTAGAGTGCTGTGGCATTACAGCTCACAGCAACCTCCAACTCCTGGGATCAAGCGAGTCTCCTGCCTCCGCCTCCCAAGTAGCTGGGACCACAGGCGCCCACCACAACGCCCAGCTATTTTTTGGTTGCAGCCGTCATTGTTGTTTGGCGGGTCCGGGCTGGGGATTCGAACCCACCACCTTAGGTGTATGTGGCTGGCGCCTTAGCCGGTTGAGCTATAGGCGCTGAGCCAGTTGGCTGTTTTAATACAGAATTGACCTAGAAGACATAGTTGAGTCATAACTGACTCAGCTCTTCATGGGGAGCCTAAAGACTACCCAGGTGCTTTTTTCTCAACATTATGGGCAGAGTATTTGTGTCTGAATGTGAAGTATTAGTAAATTCTGTCCCACTTTTAGACCATGTTATCCAATTTCATTTTTTGTTTCTCTCCCTGCTAATGAGATAATAGAGCCAAGTCCTCTTAGATCTTAGCAATGCCTTGTCTTAAACCCTGTCAGAAAGGCACTTACCTCTTAATAGGCAGCAACACTCCAGCCAGTTTGATAAAAGCAATTTTTTAAAAAGAAAAACAATGATCAAGTTCTAAATCAGACAAATGCACGAAAAAGAGGAAAAGAAAGCTTCCTGGGGGGGAGGAAGAGACATCCATGAGAAAGGCCGAACCTTACAAAAGTGTGGCCCTTTTCTCTCAATGTAGTAATCGCAGTAGAGCACATAACAGGAGCTGATCTCTATCCCAACTGCAGGATGCTCCCAAGGCAGTGTCCAAGAGCCTGGAAGGCAGCTTTTTTTTTTTGTCAGCAGGTACAGTACAGCAGGAAAAGCCATTCTGGTGAAAAGTCCAATGGTCTTGTTAGCGTAGGCTGCTACTGCTGCTGGCCTGGGAGCTGCCCATACCTGGATGATCTGGACTATGTCGGTTCTGGGGAAGACAAAAGGAGGAGGAGTGAGAACAACTAGGAACTATCCTTGGCCTTGACTGGGCAGTAGAGGAAAAACCTGCAACCTGTGTTGGCTTTTAGTCTTGGGTCTATCTTGAGGCAAAAGACCCTACGTAGGACAGGGGTAAGGTAAGATGTAGGGAGATTCACTGGGCTGTGGCAAGAGGCCCGTACTCTACCTTCTTTTTCTTCTTCTCTTTCTTCTTCCTTTTCCGTTCAGGATCCTCTTCTTTTTTCTTTTTCTTCTTCTTGTGATCCGAATCAGATGGTGTTTCTGTAGGAGACATTAGTTGCCTATCACCTGTAGAGTTCAAAACCTCTACTGATACCAACTCTGAAGACTACAGGAGCACCTCAAGTCAGTAGCAATTGCTTTTTTCAAATGCCCAGAAAGGATAACAAAGTAACAAAGTGCTACTCCTGTCCCAAGACCCTACTTTCCCAAGAGACTGCACAGTACACTGGAATGTGGGAGTCTAGGGCTCTATAAGGAACTTAACTGGGTTGAAGTATGGAAGATCAAATCAGAATCTGAAGGTCAAATTTTTTTACTTTGAAGAGAATCACTTTTTACCTGGGGGGACAGGATCTTGAGTACGGCTCTGTTTGTACTTCTGCTTATTCTTCTTCTTGGGAGGCTGAATATGCATCAGTCGACATTGCTCTGGCAACTGAAGGAACCAAAAAAGATCCAGGTGAATAAAAGGAGGGAATGCGCTGTTCACTTCATCTTTCCTGCTCAGTTACGAAGTAACAAACTTGGACAGAAAACCCACCTCCATGCCTTTTAGGCCTCCCCACTTGCCTTCTTCCTCCCCAAGAGGGGACTCACCGGTCCAGTATGGAGGCGGAAGCCAGCCAGCATGGTCCCTGTGATAGGATTAAAAGAGCCACCAAGAATAGGGGGCTTTTCAATAAGGGAGCGGAGGCTGCTGTTATCATGGGAACCAGGCAGATCAATCATCCCTGGCAGGTCAGGCAGGAAGTTACTTAGTTTCTCCTTTACTTTCTTCCCACAGAATTTATTATAGGCTTGTTCTAGATTGTAGTGTGTGATCAGATTGGTGCTGCCTGTCAGTTCTGTGCTACCTAGAGAACACAGAATAAAAATAAAAGATTAGCCCTAAAAGTAGAGATTTTTAGATTTATTTTTGTCATTGACAAAGAAGGAAAGTTACGGACTACATTTTAACCTAAATAAGGAATCTCTTGAGGATTTAAAATTTTTCAATTTAAAGAAGCAGAGCAGGGTGGTGCCTGTAGCTCAGTGGGTAGGGTACTGGCTATATACACCCAGGCTGGTAGGTTCAAACCAAGCCCAGGCCAGCTAAACAACAAAGACAACTGCAACAAAAAATCAGCTGGGCATGGGGTGGCGCCTGTGGTTCAGTGAGTAGGGTGCAGGCCCCATATACCGAGGGTGGGGGGTTCAAACCCAGCCTGGCCAAAACTGCAACAAAAAAAATAGCTGGGCATTATGGCAGGCACCTGTAGTCCCAGCTACTCGGGAGGCTGAGGCAAGAGCATCACCTAGGCTTGGCACCCGTGGCTCAAGTAGCTAAGGTGCCAGCCACATACACCTAAGGTGAGAGGTTTGAATCCAGCTTGGGCCCACCAAACAACAATGACGGCTGCAACCAAAAAATAGCCAGGCTTTGTGGCGGGGCACCTGTAGTCCCAGGTACTTGGGAGGCTGAGGCAGGAGACTTGCTTGAGCCCAGGAGCTGGAGGTTGCTGTGAACTGTGATGCTACGGCACTCTACCGAGGGTGACATAGTAAGACTCTGTCTAAATAGAAAAAAAGCAGAGCAAGAGAAAATAAACTAAACATTAAAAATATAATAGTATGATAGGTGAGAATGGGAAGAAAAAAAAAAGAAAAATCCAAATAAGAAACAGAAATTGATCTAGCCCAATGAAGGAAACATTCCACTCTGTTTGGATTAACCAGAATAATAATTTACATAATGTTTATTCCATGCTAAACACTGTTCTACATGCTTGCCATAAATAATATTCTCTGATGCAACCAGGATAACAGTACCTCACAGCTTAGCTATAACCATGTGAAGGACCAAATGTGACCCCAGTGCTTTGAGAACCCCCCTCTTTTTTTGTTTTTAACTAGCAAGAAACACTAATCACCTTTACAAAGAAAAAGAGCCAGGAGATTTTTCTAGCTACCATTTTTGTTACCAACACCTTTGTTCTTCCTCATGGTTCTGAATATAATGCTTTGCCTAGAAAGAAAAAATGTTTGATTAGAAATTGGGCAACCAGGCCAGCCATGTTAGCTCATGCCCATAATCCTAACACCCTGGGAGGCCTAGGTGGGTGGAATGCCTATGCTCAGGAGTTGGAGACCAGCCTGAGCAGAGACCCTGTCTCTACTAAAAAGAAAAAGAAAAAAATAATGAAGATGGGCAGCACCTGTAGCTCAGTGAGTAGCGTGCCAGCCATATACACCAAAGCTGGCGGGTTCAAACCCGGCTGCGGCCAACTAAAAAACAACAACGACAACTGCAACAACAAAAAAATAGCCAGGAGTGTGGCAGATGCCTGTAGTCCCAGCTACTTAGGAAGCTGAGGCAAGAGAATTGCTTAAGCCCAAGAATTTGAGGTTGCGGTGAACTGTGACACCACAGTACTTAACCCAGGGTGATAGCTTGAGACCCTGTCTCAAAAAATAAAGAAGTTGAGTGACTAGAATTCTAATCCTGCTGTCCTTGATGCCTCAGTTTTTTTTTCTTTTTGGGGGGGATAGTGTCTCACTTTGTTGCCCTCAGTAGAGTGCTGTATTGTTGCAGCTGACAGCAACCTCCAGCTCTTTTTTTTTTCTTTGCAGTTTTTGGCTGGGGCCAGGTTTGAACCCGCTACCTCTGGTATATAGGGCTCGTACCTACTCCTTGAGCCATAGGTGCTGCCCCCAACCTCCACGTCTTGGGCTTAGGTGAGTCTCTTGCCTCAGCGACCGGAGTAGCTGGGACTATAGGCACCCGCCACAATGCCTAGCTATTTTTTTGTTGCAGTGTTGTTTGGGGCCGGGTTCAAACCTACCACCCTCAGTATCTGGGGCCAGTGCCCTACTTACTAAGCCACAGATGCCGCCCCGATGCCTCAGTTTCTTATCTGTGGAATGGAATAATAGCTAAAAGTACACTTCATATTTTTTCAAGGTTCACAAGTATCCT